ATGTATATGTGGTGAAGATATTTCTATCCTATTATCAAGAGGTTTTATAGTCCATAGGAGGCCCATATTTGAACAAAGGAATAACATATGCTTCTTGTTATGCCTGGGAAGGCATACGATCATATTAGTAATCAGCAAATCACGGTCTTCTCAAGCGTGGAGCTAAATAATGGAAATACTATTGCAATGACCTACTTAATTCTTCCAAGAACGCTATCCCAAGCCAACGAGTTCCTGTATGGAAGTGACAATTATTTATTAGCGTATCCTGATTTGAAATGCCAGCTACAATAAGTGATGATCCTTGTTGATTGATTTCATCATGTTTATTTATTGGTGTAGCAAAGCAACTGATTTTAGGATTTTATTTGAATTATTTTATCGTTGAAACCCATTAAACTAGAAACAGAATGAAAATCATTTAACTTAAAATTAAACAAATATCACTTCCTCGGCAATTTAAATCAAATCATATCAAACTGAACCTTTCACAGAGTTTATCCTCTGTTGCAAAGTTGGTCTAGCTTGGTCATTAAATATCTACATCGAAATAGGTTATTTTAATTAGCATAAAAGCTATTCTTCTTTAAGGTCAAACCGCAAACTTCTAGCTCTAAAAATGCCATATTTCAAAACATCGACTTTGATTGGATTTTTAAAAAATTTTAATTCCTTACAATTATTTTCTAATTTTGACCATACTTGTAGATCACTAAAATGTCGTAGTCTGGATGGAGAAGGATGGAAAACACAATGTTTATGTCATCTTTTCTAAACAATTTTCTCATGTAATAGTGGTAAGAAGAGTGTACCAGAAAGGGCTGTTCAGATGCAAAGGCGCTAACTGACACAACAAATTTACATTTATTTAAGAATGACCTAAGTTAATTATCTGCAGATTTATGACTACAAAATGAGTTGTGACCATATATGTTTCTACCCTGCTTGTCAATCTCCAATGATCATTTTAGATGAATATATTGTAATGTAACGGATGATCATAAGGACATATGATGTGACTTGCATTTAAGTGAGGATCGTTTGCATGATTCTCCTCCCTGATTCTCTATCCAAATTACATATTTGAACAGCATTAAAGAAAAGTGCGAGACAATTTGGGGGGTGGGGTGGTGGTCGTAATGTTGAGCAGTGAATGACGAAATCACTATACATGCCATTTAAAAAGAACCTGCGTAGGTAACATTTCGTCGTCAACATTTTTTTTCTAACGTAAAATCCAGGGTCACTTTCCAATAAAACTCGGTATGGGAACAGTGCAGCAAAAATTTATTTAACGCAAAATAAATCTGAATGAATATCAAGAATGACGGGATTAAGAGCTATTTCAACAGATAAAACTAGAAATATTTACTGCAAACTTCATCAGCGAACATTCACATTTCCTAGTGATGTTAATAAAACTTTGAAAACTGAGTTGGCCACACAATCTTTTGCAGGGTAAAATGATTTCTTTGTAACATTATAAATAGTCTTCATCAAGCCCTAATTCCTCACCACCATCCCCAGTAAATCCAGAAACGATTTACCCCTGAAAATAGCCGAGACCAACACGCTGTTAACATTCTGTTGCTTCCAAATGTTTAGGAATTAAATCCCCTTAAGCGTCATTACTGAAATTCTCCTCAAACTAGTCACACTTATGTAGTTGAAATAGACGATCGAACAAAATTTAAGTGACTCATTTATCTTTCAACTATACAAGTGTCAACGGAACCATCATTCTTTACATAAATACAATATATAATTTTTATGTTGATTTTAAAATGGATATTCTATAAAATCTTACTAAATCGTCTTCACATACATATTAAGAAAGGTCACTTGCTCGAAATTCAAACTTTTTTCTTTACAAAAACTTGAAATATAGAAATAAGCAATTGCAGGAAAATGCCAGAAACATAACTTTAAACTTACTTCTATATATTTAAACATGAAAACATGGGTTCATTCAGTAGAGAATTCCTTTGAACAATCGTGGAGAAATAGGCAGAAATGTCATATTTGAATGCAGGCTATGGCATTCAAAAAATGGAGGAATGTCTAAAAATTTCCAAATTTAATAAAATCTGTTATGTTTATGAATTCATTTAATTGTTGACACTTGATTATATGTTTGATTACAGCCAGTGTACTTTTGAGATATTAACTAGTTAGGGAATGCTCTTCACGTGCTTGACATTGTGACGTATTTTATGATTATTATGACATATGGACTTGTCTGTTTTGTGACGTAAATCTGATTAATCGACAGTCGTGAAAAAAACTTTTTTTGAAGAAGGTTATGTTGTTTTTTCTCTCTGATTACGAGTTTTGTTTATAGAATTAAGAGTCAGTATATATAATTATATATTAAAGTTGCATTTATCATAAAAAAGACGGGAGTTGATCAAATGCTACTTTGACGTCTTACAACATGTAAAAGAAATTGAAGAATTAACCGATCTTGTACACATTTGAATACAAAGCATTGCAATTGTTACACAAATTATGGCTATACTAATGGGCCTTAAACAAGTGCACAGAAAATTGTCAAACACGTAAATCATTTCCAACCATCCTACTTTCATCGACTGGCAGAGTGCTCTTGAAACTGTGAGTAGGAGCTCTATGGGCATTAAAAATGAACATTGCCATTCTAGAGCTCATACGAGACATTAAGTCAAATTAAGGCATAGTGGTCCTTCAGTTGATCCTCTGACTTTCAGGAATTACTCCTAGTGGTAGAGTTGATTATCTAGGGCTAAAACACATTGACCAACAACAACCTAACCAACCAATAACCTAACTGAAGGTCAAGGCCTGACTAAAGGACCTCTTTTTGGAAGGATGGGTGACGAACTGGAAAAAATTGTCAGACGGCCCGAAAACTTTACCGGAAAATCCAAAACCAAACTGTAAAGGCAATCAGTGTGGCTTCTTAAATGCAACCACAAAAGCCTCAAATCGCAAATTAGCGATTACTGAGCATTGCCCATACCGTAGCTATCTAAACATGTTACATTGCTTTGGAACCCCATGAACACGGATCGGAGACAGTCAAACACTTACCACAAAGAAATACAAAACGCAAAATTACAAAAACTAAATACCAGAATAGCCATTCTAAGTCGTTCATCCCTTGCAACCATAAAAAATACATGCCACAATACATCTAGGAGATAATAGCTAGCTGGAAAACATTGTAGAAGACATAAAACCAACAGTTGTTATAATGTAGTTAACATATAAACAGTAAAGTTCAAATATAAAAACTGTCGATGACATGAGAATGTATAACATTTTACATGTTAACTATTATATTTACGACCAGAAAGCTGTATGTAAAATTTTAAGAATACAATCTGAGATATTCTGAAATATTTCCATACAGTTTTTAGACATTGTCAATAGAGTAATTCCTTAGAAGAACATGTCACATAGCATTGCTGCAATAGCTTTTTTGTTAATGAGGCAGAAATTTAATTATGGAATACAGTCTTCAATGCGAGAAAATCGGAGAAATGTATAATCTATTTCCTGTACCGGGTATCTAAAAACTTTAAATAACGTTGCATACATTACCCAACATTTTTAAATCTACCTATGTTTTCAGAGAGGGTAGCATTGAAATCAGCATCAGATACTAAACATAAGGTACAGTCTTAACCTAAGTATCTTTATGCAAATCACGGTTTTAAATAAATTAGCACGGATTTTCTACCTATGACTGTGTTTGCAAAGCTCTTTAAGCAAGGACTGCAATTTCTCATATCAAAGCACACACTTTAATATCAACATTAACACAATGGATGTGCGTGTGACGTTAATCAATTACTTGTTTAACAAGAACACACTCTTAAAGTCATGCTTAGAAATTAAAAACCATACACACTAGGAGCATTAAGATAATCAGCAAAAATAAATGATAGAACAAGTGCCAGTACACTTACGTAATTTGACATGCAGGGATCACAAGATCTATACATGTTTAATGTATTTCAGCTTTATTTGGTGGGACATGTTGAGAGAATGTCAGAGGACTGCACGCAAACTTAAAATAATATTTAACGGGAACCTAATCATGAAAGGTTCTTAGATGAAGAACGGAAAATACTTGGCAATTTCAGAGAAGAACCATTTTTTCCTCGAACCTGACTTATTAGACCCCCTCTCCCATCGACAGATTCAGTATCGGCACAAGTCCAAAATTTAAAATGTTCATTACTGATTTTGAAAGAAGAATTAATACATATTAAAATGTCGCCTAATATAGCCTTACATTATTTTGTTAAAATGTGTCTCATATTTAAGCCCTAATTTTTAGATTTTGGCGTAGATTATATTACATTTTATACTCCAAATTAAAATATAAAAACTCCCATCATATTTTATGACGTAGTCTCTATATTCATATTTTTTTAAAAATCAATTAAAGACGTATTAGCTATTTTATGTAAGTTATCAATATAAATCTAAATTTTAATGCAATTCTAAGAGACGTTTTACGTACGTACTTTCGTAAAAAAATGGGTTGTCAGCAAAATTTTCACCCTGGAAATTCAAAGTTACATAGATTAAACATTTTTTTTTAACGAAACTTAATTATTGTCTTTTATATCTACGTATATTTGTATTCATTTTCATTCATGTTAATTTGTAAATCATGTTGATTCAAAATAAATATAAAATGTATCACGTTTAATATTATGTATAGCAATTCTTGAAAACTGTTTTAATTAAGTACCATGTCAGAGTGATACATAACATAACATTTGCAGAAAAGGCTAAACAGATTCTGTAAATTATTTAAATAGACCTTTGACACTTTATTAAAATCTCGTACATTATTTGTTAATGTCAGACGATAAAGATTAGACTGGATCATTTATTCAGTAAAAATAGAAATGGTAATTGTTGTTTTTTTTTCTTTTAAATTAGTATTATTGTTGAAAATAATCAAAATTTTAGGCCATATATAAACAAGTAGTTTAGTAAACTTACACTATTCTTTATAACTTCATGTATCTTTTCCAATTTGACGCCTCTTTCCATGATCTTCAATAAAACATCTATATCGTTTTCTCCCAAAATTTTCTCTATTATTATAGAGAGGCCATCATCACTCAAGTCATGTCGCTAAAATAAAAAATAAAATGACATATATGAAATTGATATACTAACTATAAATTTATAAATTAACTGAAAAGGAAAGTTAAATATGAAAATATGCTCGTGAATAATATATGTAAATGTTACGCTCTTTTGCATATGTTGTACCTAAAAAGAATATTAATTTTGTTTTAAGAATCAAACCTTTTTAGTACATATACATTTCCAAAAATACACAAAACAAGATTGAATTAACTTACTTTTGAAATTACTTCATGGGGCTCTTTAATTTTAAATACAATTTTTAACAGTATTTTCTGTTCATCGACATCAGCTAAAGTCATGCATCGTTTAAGTACTGAATTAGAATAAAGAACAGGTAAAGTTGATTTTTTTTTAAATTTAGAGAGAAACTTGAAGTTTATAATTAAGTTTATGGGCTAAGAGTTTCAATAGCATGTGTCGTGGTTCTTAAAATAATAAAAGGATATTATCTGTATTTATAAACTACACACAAAATTTTTGTTCAATGTGCAAAAAACTTATAATGCAGGACTTTTATAGATACCTGTAAATACTGAAAATCGTTTCAGAAATCCATTTTTGCTATCGGGTTTATTAAAGATTTAAAACATTATATAATTATCATTAAATGTACTATTATTTAACCTGTATCGGAAATTTAAAATTTAAATTAAGAAATGAAAATTAAAAAATATGAAATATTGGTAATATACTATTAGTAAATTATAGTTTTTAGCATGCATAAAGCCAATGTTTATGAAATTAAAATTGTTTTCAAACATTAAGAGTTATATTAATTTGTTTTTATGCATACATTTCTTAAACATCAAAATGAAAAATATTTTTCTTATGTAACGTATCAATATTTATGTAAATTTGGCAATTTTATAAGAGGTCTTACGTGTGTATAATGATGGGTTAGCAGCTATATTTTCACCCTGAAAATTCAAAGTTACATAGATTAATAGTTTTTTTTTTACGAAACTTAATTATTATCTTTTATATCTACGTATATTTTGTTTTCATTTTCATTCATGTTATTATGTAAATCATGTTAAATCAAAATTAAAATAAAATGTATAAAAGTCTAATACCATGTATAGCAATTGTAGAAACAGTTTGTTTTTTTTTAAAAGGACCATGTCAAAGTGATGCATAACACAACATTTAAAAAATGGCTTAACAGATTCCATAAACCATTTAATAGACTTATTTGACACTTTATTAAAATTTAGTAAATTATTTGTTAAGGCAAGTTTTTAAAGACTGGGATGCAATATTTTTAACGTAATAATAATATCGTTTGTGATTTTTATTTTTGGTTGTCGTTTTTTTTTTCGGGGGGGGGGGGGGTTGGGGGGTTTTTTTTGTTTTTTTTTTTAAAAAAATCAAAATTCTTTATATTAAAAAGTATGTTTAGTATACTTACACTGTCCTCTATAACTTGAAGTATCTTTTCCAATTTGACGCCTCCTTTTATTATCTTGTATAAAACATCTATAGTGTTTTCTACCCACATTTTCTCTATTATTATAGAGATGCCTTCATCACTCAAGTCATGTCCCTAAAACAGATTGTTTTTGTTTTTTAAAATATAATAGGAAATTCATAATTAAACAAAAATGTGGTATAAGAAACGTTACACCCTATTGCATCTGATATTCCTTTAAATATAAATATTGGTTTTATATAAAATCTCTTATTTGAGGAGATATAAATCTCGAAATAATATAGAAAACAAAATTTCATTAACTTACTTTGGCAATTACTTTATGGGGCTTTTTTTTCATGTCCAATACAATTTTTAAAAGTATTTTCTGTTCTTCAACATCAGATAAAGTCATGCATCGTTTAAGTACTGAATTGAAATAAAGAACATGTAAAGGCAATTAAAAATACAATTAGAGAAACCCTTGCAGTTTAAAAATTCAGTTGAATTCATAAATGTTTAATAGCGATTGGCATTGTTCTTAAAAGTATAAAGGCATAGCATCTTCAATGACAAAGTACGCAAACAATGTTTGTTAGATATGCAAAAACCTGTACTGCATGACTTTCTGAACATCAAAGTACAAACTGAAAATACAATTTTACTTTTAAGTTCATTGAAGATTTTAAACACCCTTTTACTATTATTAATTAACAAAACATTATTTAAACTGTATTTAATATTTTTTAAGCGGAAAATTTACAAATCTATTTTTTATTGATATAATAAAATCTATAGATTTGAGTTTTTAGCTTGTTTAAATGAAAGCGATTGAAAATGTAATGACAATTGTTTTCAAACATTAAGCCAAGAAAAAAAAATCCTTCTTAAATCTGCAGAACACATAAATTATGCATGATATCCATCAATTCCTGTGGCGCTACAGCCAATTTTGGGCATTGCCTCTCTGACTACTTCCTGCCGTTCAAACCTAATTGCTTTTTAAAATTATTTTATTTACCAGCGGTTGTTGACTGCGTCTTCCCTTATTACATCTTTACATTTGCTACTTAACTGCTAAGAGGCGTTTGTTTCCGTCTCATTACCCCCTTTTATTATTTCTCTATGTCGATAAAGTATCATATTTTTTCTTACTTTTTCTCTTCTACGCACTTAATACTTTTGCTACATATCCTCGGTCTCAAATCGACTTTCCTTTTATCTCTATTGGCAGACTTTTTTCCTCTTACTGACATCCCCTTACTCTTGCCCAACACTGTTCCACTATGCCAACTAATTACCAACTTTGCTCCTTTATCTTTACTGTCTTTAGTTTAATACCACCAAACATAACTACCGACTGTAAGGAACATGCATTCACTCTCTTTAAGAAATCCAGATGCAATGTACATCTTAATTTTCTTCATACTTTCATACAAGTCAGCATTATTCTCCAAGGTTTACTAATTTCAACCCGGTGACCGGCTCACTCTACTCTGACGTCATGGCCAGAATTCAATATTTTCAGAAAGAGATAGTCTTTCAACGTATGGGTATTCTTACACACAAACAATAGCGTCTCATTGCGGACCACAGTACAATCATCTACCAACTTGTTGATCGCATTCTCTCTAATACCTCTAATAGTATTTATCTTTTGAACTAATTAGAACGATTATCCACCAACTTAATCGGGAACTGTACCGATTCCTCTCTACCAACAAAAGGAAGAAGACAAAATCTTAAGCCACAAACAGCTCAACACCTCATCAAACTGTAAATGGTAACAACTTAGTTGTTTGCTTCACCCCCACTGAACTTTAAACTCCCTGATGACGAAAGGTCGTTACTCTCTAAGGGAGTAAAATTTAATAGATCATCAGTCATGTTTTTGTAAATAACAGTCACCCTTCACAAGGACAGATTACACATACTCTGCCTTCCTTAAGCCTACTGACAGCCACAGCGATCTACTTTACTCATCATCCCACCCTATATCCTATTGTTATGTAGGTCGTGTTACGTTACACTTTCCCCGTGCCGTTAACTTTGTTTGACCAAAAGTAGACTACGTTGGTTTTGGGCTTGGCCTGTTTCCCTTTCATCTTGCCGTATTTACTATCGATACCAACTAAAAATAATTAATCTGTTTCTCGTTGTATTTTGTGGCATATTCGTGATTGAACTAGAAAAGTAAACATGGAAGGCGTTTCTGAATGCGTCAGTAGACCCAATATATAAATAAGGGGATTCAGGGATTCACATGGATTAAGATAGATATTTTTTTTAATTCACGAGACAAGTGTATTATTATGTGTGTACTAATATGTGTTTATTTGTCATTATTAATTTGCACATTGAACTAACTGTTTACCGGTACAAGATCTACCATACTCTGTAAGTTGATGATTTGTAATTTTATTTTTATTTTGTAATTGTATTAATACTAAAATAAATCTTATTAATTGTGATTTTAACTGTTTTGGTTGTGGTATTTTGCTATTGTATTTCTTAATGGTATCGTCCTTTGTTAGGCACCGTTGGAACTGCCATAAATTTAAAAAAGTGATTAATTTCCGAAAATATAAGGAAATGCGTAACACATTGGTCTGCTCGTCCGTGAGTACTATAATCACATTTTTTTTTTATTTCTTACAAGTCCCCAATTTAACAAATTGTTGGCTTTTCCTGGGATTTACCTGAATCCGTTTTTTTATATCTTACAAATCTCCACAATAACAAAGTCTGGGATCACACTTGGATATTTGAATCCATAAATTTTCTTATCACAACAATAATAAATTCAGTGTTTTTTTTTATTTATTTTGACCCAGTGTTTACTATAATATACTCAGACTAAATTTAGTGCACGATACCATTTTAAGAATAAATAACAGAGTAAATTACAATTTTTCTTTAAATTCAATTTTAAAAATTGTGTTTACTTAGCTTTCTTTTTTTATATAAAATTTAGTGTTATATTTTGCCTGTTTCAAAATGTATTTTGCTAAAGATTTATGGATAAGAAGAGTTTATTCAACATTAAAAAAGACTATATGAGATATGATCATCGTCCTCTTGGTGGATAAAGATGTGTTATAGTAGGACAAACTGGCCTCAATCACACAACCGTATGATTATAGTATGGAGCTCAAATTGAAGCTCAAACAGCTGGCGCTTGAAAATGAACAAGAGCTTAAACAAATGGAACTACGTGCTCAGAGAGATAAAGAACGAAAGCTTAAATAATGAAACTAGAAGAGCAGAAAAAGTTATAAATAAAATTAAAAGAAATGGAAATAACGGCCATTTTGGGGGCAGTTAAAAAAAAGCCTCTTGGTTCTATTAGTCAGGTTTCTGATGCAATTAAATTTGCAAAGGTATTACCAAAATTTGCAGAAAATTAGGTTGACCAATATATTGCACAGTTTGAAAAAACTGCCAAAACTATTAACATTCCGGAAAATATGTGGTCCTTTTTACTGCAACTAGTCCTATGTGGAAAGCGCAGCCGAAGTTTGTGTGTCCTTGAATGCGGAACAGCGCGGGAACTATAACCCTGTAAAATCCTTAATACTTAAGGCTTATGAATGTGTTTTTGAAGCAAACCATAAAAATTTTAGGGAGCTGTAGAAATGTAATGACCAGACTCATGTAGAACTCATCCAGGAAAAGGACGACTCCTGGACACGTGGCTGCCGGCAAAGAACACAGACATCAACAATTTCAAGAACTTCATTATGATGAAGGTGTTCAAGAATTGTGTTCGTACAGACGTGCAAATACACATTGCAGACCGTGTTGAACAGTGACACACATACGGCAGCAGTGTTAGCTGATGATTGCACCATCACACATCAACTCCAAGGAATCAATTTGACACCAAAAAAAAAAAAAAACCAGCACACTAAAACAACAGCATCGACTTATAGTAAACGTCAACAGAATTCATGCAAGCCTGGTACAAAATAAATAGGTACAAAAGACACAGGTGTCACATGTAAAAAAGGACATACTAGAAACGAGTGTTAGAAACTCAATAAGAAAACTGAGAAGACCACATATTCTAGTATCCCACACAAAGTATCCGCTTGTACGTTTCGTCATACAACTGCTGAAAATAAATGTTCAAAGTTCAAGGGCTTTTTCTCTCCCGAAGTCCATACAAATTTCAGAGAGGTTTTTCATGACTCATAAAAGAATTTCGAAATGAACACGCAGGCTAAGTGCAAGACTCATTGCACCAGACATTAACGAACAGTTGAAATCAGCTGTAGATTCCAGTGACGTTGAAATGGTGAAGTTTTCCTTTAAAGAAGATGACCACTGTGTTGATCATCCTGCCTCTTAGTTCTCAAAGAAATTTAACTCCCATCAGAAAAAAAAATTATACTATACTTCTCGCGGACACTGAAACACGGAACATTTCTCTTCCCCGCCATTCTTTTTTGAAGACTTGATAAAAATATGTGTGCAGTCACATCGATTCTCCCCCTCTCACTGTGAGACCAAGTCATGTGGACTCAGCCTTTGCAACATTTGATATATTGTCGACCAGACACCACGCATACGCTTCCATAAGTGCATTTTTCAGATACTCGTATGTTTCTTGTGCACTGGTCGTAATATTTTCTCCACAATTGTTGTCACCCGCTGAAAGATCTCGTACGCTAAGGAGAAAGGACCAAACTTTATTAGAAGTGACCAAAAGGGCACGACGAACTTTTCAATATATGCTTTCGTGGTTAGCACAAACACATCCGGTCGGGTGAATTTGGAAAACCAACTAATCCTGACATATGTCACATTGTCACCACATGGTATCAACGTCATATCTCTATTTCTAGCTTGAGCCTAGCTCCGCTGCTCCACGTCATGACTTACTTTCCCATTTTTCCTTCCCTCCTCCCTATTTAATCTCACCAAATTATTCTCTGTCACATTTTCATTACCCTCCCCCACCCTCGGATATTATTTCTCAAAAAATTTAATTTAAAAAAAAAATTAAATACTCTTCAGTTGAATGTCTTAAAAAACAAAAAGATTCGTTATCAATTCAAAATGTGAAATCATTCAAATGCAGATCTCATAAAGAAAAATCAAGTTATTAAACAAATAGAGACATAAAAAAAACCTAGCGCCTAAATTAATAATAATGTAACATGACAAACAAAATCTTCATTTTGAATCAATAGTCAACCATATATTTTATGCCTTAAAAAAGCTGAAGTTATGAAAATTCGTGTGTCCTTAATGTGTAGAAATTTGCCACACTTTAAAAATATTTTTAAAAAAAAAGAAATGATCAAACATTAAGTTTTTATATAGACGATATGTCAATGTCATATTTGCGCAGGCTATGAACTCTAGCCAGCCTTAAGCTCGAAAGCCATTTGGGCCGCTGCTAGCTAAAAATAGTCTCTCTTAACCTTGTTCACCACTAAATACAATAAATAATATGTTTCTTTAGAATGATGTAGATTGTTCTGGAGAAATCTGGAAAGGAAACCCTTGTGTAAAGTTTTTCTAGAAATATCAGTAAAACGGAAAATAAAAAGAATAGGCGAGCTATTTTGTGGGTTCTATCATTTTTATCACAAAATATATCGAGCGTGTGTTTGTTTTCCAAAGAAACACGAACTTTGCTTACTTTGTGTGTGTAGATTCCTTTACATAACTGTTTCTTTTAACAACATTTGTATTTTTACAACATTGCACCGGTACAAGAATTCATTATAATGTAAGTCGATAGCCTTAGTTATGTTTCTTTGAATTTTTAAATTTATTATTAACATATTAAAAGGCATTAATTGTATTTAACCCTGGTTTGAGTGTCGCATTCATATTATTTCACTTATTGTATGTTCATTTATTGTGTTTTATACTTATACTTAAATAAGACATTAGTAACAAAATGTGTGATAAACCTTTTGTGTACCATAAACAAAGCAGCTGTAACTCCAATCCAATCACTGAACTTCTTGTTTGAAATGAATTTATACACTAAAATTGCTAAATGACAAATGATTCAAATAGAACACGAAAAAATAGCTTCTATTGATGTGTAATAATTTCATCATTATTTAATTTTAAAAGGGTAATTTAATTTACTTTTTAAATCCAAAAACAATACAACAAAAGGATCTTTCAAAATCATTAAATAGAAAAATATATTTTGTGTGAAAATTTTAAAATATTATTAATTATATAGTTGCTTTGCTAATTATTTAAATACATTTAACAATGTATTGTTAATTGACTAACAATGAATTTAATATTGATAATTAATTTTAAAAGTTGGTTGCTATACTAATGATTACAATGAAATTCTGGAAACATATTTAGATTTTGAAACTATATGTTTATGTCTAAATATTACATAATCTGAAAAAAAATAATCATACTCTTTAAGCTTAAATGTTGGCTGTCGGGTAATAAGACGCTACGCTTTTTTTTAATTTTATATAACCTTATATGTGATCCTCAAATTATTAAATGTAGCCTGTTCAATATATCTTTTTTTCCAAATTTAAATGCAACATAAAAATTATGTTAAAATTGTATTAATCTTTAAACCTAAAGATTCAAATATAATATATATATATAAGTAGTAGATAATGTTCAAATCAGGGCACAATTTGGAGGAGGTTGGAGGAGGTCCTCCGTCAAGGCACTATAACTCGATAAATTATTATTAATGTTTTGTTATAAAAGTTACCTCTATTTGATTTTCGTTGTAAGACAACTATATTATTAGTAATCCTTTTGATTAATTTGTTAAATATGAATAGTTGTGCATGCATATTTAAATTAAATACATCATCAAAGACAACATTGTACAGATTTTTAACGTGTTTTTTACGAAGGTATTTATTTATATTATTTTATTTTGAGTGGTTCTCAATTTTCAATTGAGTGGTTCTCAATTTTTCTATTGACTGGTTGTCATTTTTTAAACATTTTTATGAGTATTTTCATTGTGTAATTTGATCGTGTTGGTATTATTGGACAATGATTTAAATTATATCATTTATTGTGAGTGGTTCTCAAAGTATGATGGTAAAAATTGTGTATTTTCTAATGAAGGGTTTAAATTACGTAATTTTATCTAATGAGTTGTTCTAAAAATTGTTTTGATTGTTAACATGCATTGTTTTAATTGTTACCATTCAGTGTTTTAATTGTTACCAAGCAGTGTTTTAATCATTATCATGCCATTATCAAATAACTTTTTGTCTAACTTACCAACCGTTGGGACATCTGAATTTAGTCAAAGGCTTTTTTTTTCTGAAAGTAAAATTTTAATCTTTACCACGCCAAAATTTAATTTCATCTGGCCGCTCTCTCTCTCTCTCTCTCTCAATATCTTTCCATACAGAACTCAACTAGATTTCTGTCTAACGTCCAGCTATCACAGCATAACACCCCGTTACTAGTTTCTTTTTCCCCATCACAAGCTAAAAAAAGGGCTTCCATTTAAACTTTACGACATTGACAGCTACCATAGCATAACAACCCATTAGTGTTTTGACTTCTCTGGCCACTTTCATTTTTTTCTCCGTGTCATCTAACGACTCTTCCTACCTCCATCTTTTTTCTGATCATCTCAACTCTTTCAACATCTTTCAAGCTACCCCATGCAAGTCCACATTCCAACATTATTAATATGTCCCACATCACTCAAAATTAATATGGGTTACACAGGTTTCACAACACCTCTTAACCATACTGTTTTTAACTGTTCATCGGCCCAAAGAACCAAATTTCATATCAACTATTGTAACTAAACTTTTCCAACGCAACTATCCTCGTGTCCTCAAACACATAACTCCCATTTTACGAGATGAGCGACTACCAAACCACTTGTATTCCAAGTTTATGAACCAGTTACATGACTAGACATTTCACTATTCCTTTCATTCATGTCATGCCCAGGATATTTATCCCATGTGATCTACACACTTATTGCACCTATCAAGTTTGGATTTCCCATCTTGACACTTAATTAAACTAACACCACTCAGAGTCTACACACAGCTCACACCTCAAAATGTACACAGCACAATTCACATCTTACAACTTACGAAGCAATCCCAAAACGCACAACTTCTTACTTACAACTCACAGCTAAAAACTCACGAAGCAATTTCCAAAACCCAAACATCACAAATCACAACTGACAACTCACAAAGCACAACTACCAAGAATCAACCACAGGTAAAAAATAACAACAGCATCGTAAAATAAAAATAAAATTGCAAAAAATGATAAAAATATTTCGTAGGAGGAGAAGGCTCTTTTCTTGAGGAGGGGGAAGAAGAGAAAGATTTAGAACACAAGAGGTTGCGGTTGAGAGAAGACTACACTCAGCTTCGTTAGTATCTTATGACAGGGAAGAACGATGAATAATAAAGGCTTAGAACAAAGAAGGTTTTAAATAAGAGGAGACCAACCTCAGTTTCTTTGGAGCCAAGGAGGAGGCGTAAAGGATCAGATCAAAGAAGGTTAAGGCAAAGAGGAAATTTTCGGAGGAGAGGGGGAGAAAGAAATGCTCAGATCAAAGTAGGTTGGTTTTGAGCAGATACCAAACATAGCTTCGTCAGTATCCCAGGAGGAGGAGGAGGAGTCCCGGCGGTTTGTAAGTTAGACAGAAAATTAGTTGACAACGGCATGGTAACGATTAAAAGCTTGCATGTTCAAATTAAACCACTGCATGGTCAAAATTAAAACACTGCATGGTAACAATTAAAATACTGCATGGTAACAATTAAAAATTGTCTTTGAGAAAAATCCAGTTATGTTATGGTATCTGTGTAAAGTGATAACGGTTGACTGGGAACATATTTTATTTGTGAATGACCAGATGGGACGATAAAAGATGGCGGTTGACAAAGACAAAACACAAACGGCGTGTTATTATGTGGTAGCTGAACGTGTCGTAAAGTTTGCAGAGGGGGAACATTTTTAGATGTGGCGGGGAAAAAGAAACTATTAACGGGGAGTTATGATGTGGTAGCTGGACATGTCGTAAAGTTTGCAAAGGGGGGGGGGATTTTTAGGTGTGGTTGGTGTGGAGACGTTGAATCCGTTGTGTTGTAATTATTCACTCATGGCAATGAGTGTCTACTAGTATACAATATAGCTAATATCAACAGTTACTAATACAACCAACTTTAACAGGTTTGTAGCTAGATAGTAGTTTATTTAACACTACACGATGAACAAGACTTCATGTATAATTTCAGAATTTGATAATCAAATCATTCCAACTAAATATTAATCAATATACCAATCCAAACAATTCATACAGTATATTTATTTATTTATTTATGCATTTTTATATAGCGCTTATCATAAAGCTCTTATTACAATTATTAAAACATGTAAACTAAGTAAATACAAATGAGACACTAGGATAGTAACTACTATTCTATAGAAACAATGAAAATGGCTATAAAAAGAGGACACTTTGACACTTCAGGATTAAACCGAAACAGAAAATTAGGTAGGGCAAGGAGGGTGCATCACAGGTCATAGGCGGACCTAAACAGATGAGTTTTAAGGGACTTTTTGAAAATGGACGAGGTTTCACTATGACGTATATGGAAGGGGAGCTGGTTCCAGAACGTGGGCCCATGGAAGCAGAAGGAGCGTTCACCGATGGTCTTAGTTTTAGTTCTTGGGATTGAGAGGGTTCTACTGTCAATGGAAGAACGTAGTTGTCTTGTGGGGATGTAAGGAAGCAACAGTTCAGAGAGATAGACAGGAAAGTGAGGGTCAGTGAACGAGTTGAAGCAAAGATTGGAAGACTTGTATTTGATGCGAGAGGATATTGGAAGCCAGTGGAGTTGCCGCATGTGTGGTTGAATGTGGTCATGTTTCTTTAATTTAAAAATGAGTCTGCATGCTGAGTTCTGTGCCTTCTGAAGTTTTTCTATGTGGTGTTGAGGAATGCCTGAGAGAAGAATGTTACAGTAGTCAAATTTTGAAAGAATGAGTGAAGAGACGAGAGTTTTTGTGGCATCAAAGGAGAGGAGGTGTCTAATGGTGCTGATTTTTCTAATTTCGTTATATGCTGATCTGCATATATTCGTGACATGTTTGTCCATGGAGAGGGTGTCCGTAAGCGTGACTCCAAGGTTTCTGGCAGAGGGAGAGAGTGTGATGTCAGAGTTGCCAATAGATATAGAAGAAGGAGCGAATGGAGGGAGAGGTTTGTTTTGAGAGTGGATGAGAAGGATTTCCGTTTTATCATCATTTAGCTTCAGTTTGTTGCAAGTCATCCAACGCTTTACATCGTCCACGCACTCCTGTATGCGAAGGATTGTGGCATCAAGTTGATCAGGAAAGCAAGAGTCACTGATTTGAGTGTCATCAGCAAAGGATTGACTGGAAACTGAGTGGTGGCTAATGAGAGATGATAGAGGTTTAGTGTAGAGGATGAAAAGGACCGGCCCAAGGACCGATCCTTGAGGAACTCCAATAGACAGGGCTGAAGGTTTGGAAGAGCGGTTGGAAATAGAGACTTTTTGAGTTCTGTCAGAAAGATATGATTGAAACCAGTTTAAAGCTGAGCCAGTAAGTCCGAAAGAAAGATGAAGGCGGTCAAGAAGAATCTGGTGGTCAATGGTATCAAATGCAGCAGAGAGATCTAACAGAGTGAGAATAGAGAGTTTGCCATCGTCCATCGCGCGCAGGAGGTCACTCATGACTCGGACCAGTGCTGTTTCTGTGCTATGACCAAGTCGGTAGGCGGACTGAGAGGAAGGATAGAGATTGCGAGAATGAAGATAGCCAGAGAGCTGAGAGAGTATGAGTTTTTCTATGATTTTTGAGAGAAAGGAGAGGTTGCTGACGGGGCGGTAATTCTTGAGTGTGTTTGGATCAAGTGAGGGTTTCTTTAGGAGTGGCAGGACAATCGACCGTTTAAAAATGGGAGGGAATATGCCAGAGAGAATCGAAGAATTTATGATGGAGGTGAGTGCTGGGAGGAGGACGTCAAGGCATTCTACAAGCAGTGGGACGGGGATAGGATCGAGGGCACAAGACTTGGGAGCAGACCTGATGATGACTCGCCTCACCTCATCCTCAGTCACAGGCATATCCGCCATCAATTCTCTTAGCACAACAACCGAGATCTATCTTCTCTAACAACAACAAAAAACTAACGCGTCACTTCCCACTACCCAATTACGTCACAACACTCTCACACAAACGATACAGCTACACATAAAATCTTTGACTAAACATCTTTTCCCTATCAAACATTGAAACAATAATCTACACATAACAACAGTGATTCTCATACCTTTGACAGTGGGAAACAAAATTTAAGCGTCAAGCTGAGACGAACAAGATTGTTAAGTTTGTTATGTGAAGGTAGCTAATCATCTTAAAGTTTGGTAGGGAAAGGGAGGGCATGTTGTTGAGGGTTGTTGGCAAAAACGATAATAGTCGAGCTGAGGGAGAGAGATTGGAAAGCACATCTGTGCCAAGCGTTTGGTAACGTAAACTCTATGAAGTTGCACTTGTAAAAATGTAAATTTCCCACTTGGTTGGAAAGTTAAAGAGACTTGTGATTGAGATACAAAATAGTCTGTGAACTATAGAAAAATCAAGATAGAAATTAAAGAGAAAATTAATCAAGTTGTTGGATAGATGAGAGAACCGTTGGATTTTGGACCCGCTTCGTTGATTGAGAACCTCTGGATTTATTTTATCAAGATCAGCACATACTGCACGTGGTATTGTGTAAGATGAAACACACAGATAAAACAGTCCTACTTAAAAATTGGACATTTCGTGTGGATAACTTAGCTCCCCGTTACATTCTCACTGGTATGGTGCAAAGGGTCATTTTTACCACAACCGAGTGGGAGGACATTTTCAGTCATAAAGATATTATAACTCTATCTGAATTATTCTTGCTGACTTTGCTAAACTCGGGTTTGGATCAAGCGTTTCAACACTTTCTTGATGTCTTTGAAACGGATTTTGCTTTTATCCATGAGAAGTTGACTGATAATGTGGATGAAATGAGCCATTATTTAAAATGTCTTACTATCTAAAATAAACAAACAACAACTTTTAATTGAATTTTTCTTATATTTGTCTCGTTTTTACTTATTTTTGTGTTCAAAATGTGGAAAAGTGCTCCTGATGACCGATGGATTTGAAACATCATTCCCTTAAACTAATGGCTGGCTCTAACAAAAATGTATTTGCCCAAGTAACTCAACGGTTTGGTGTTTTTCAGCCCCTAGAATATTCGATATTGCAAGAGTGATGGAAGATAGTACCCTGACATTTTCCAACTCCCCATTGGATTAAATTTGTCGTGCGGAAGAGTCTATGGCAGTAGATGTACTTATTAATTTCGATCAAGTGAATCCTAAAAAACCTCCAGATACATGTTGTACCACCTTGCGACGTATTGTTCAAGAGCTGTCAGATCGACATGATTTAGTTTTTAAAGAAATTGTCAACAGACTAAAACCAGTTGAAACCAATGCATTTCCAACTTTTGTTATTGTTGCTGATGAAATCTTTGATGATGGACAAGTAAACTGGGGAAAGATTAATGCTGTTTACGCCTTAGCTGCAAGACATGCTAAGAAAATTGAGAATAATAAAAATGAACAAGCATCTAAAATAAATGATTCATATTCTTCGAGGTCCATACCTTACCAAAAGAAGCGTGCCTTATTTGTTGGAAAATATGTTGCTAACAAACTTGGAAAATGGATTCTCAACAATGGAGGATTTTTTTTTAATTGTTTAAGTAGACCTAAATACTATAGCATAGTTAATAAAAAATAGTATTATTCTTGGCGCCCTATAGGCAAGGCTTTCAGTCAGGAAATTATACGTTATCGTTGGACACAAAGAAAAAACATAGATTATACTTTAACTATATGTATTATTCTTAAATTTCAGGATGGATTAGTTGAGTTTTTTCCAGCCCAAGGAGACCTGGATGAAAAGCTATGGAGAGGTGTTTGATATACTGCTATTGGATTTGTAGGATTTATCGCCCTGTCCATGGTAGTCGCCTCAAGATAACGCCAGCCCCTGGACAAACGTAAGTTTGTAAAAACACAAGGGTCCTCATTTAATTTTTAAAAAGCTAAATTTGTAAAAATAATGTCAATAAAACAATTAAAATGTATAACACCTGTTATTTTTTATATGTTGTTTTTTGTTAAATACAAATTATGTTGGATACAACCCCCCTCCCCTTCCTGTACGTGTAATGGATGTGTCTACCCTCAGACCCTCGAGAAATTTGTATCTAAACAAATGGGTTTAAATTCTTTCTAAAAGACCGACATGTTAATGCATAGACTCCTGCTATAGTAACATCACTCATTCTTTCAGTCAAACACATAAGAGCCCTTGGGCTAAAACACATGCTTACAGACATGCCCCGCACGTGCAGGTGTCTACCCATAGTCTCATGACTCATGACGGGTGGAGGGATGACCTGATGTGAAAAATAAGTGTAGGGTCAAATCCGTCCATTTTTAACGTTTAACGGGGCTATCGGTGAGATTGATTGGAATGCCTAGTGATTTTTATGAAAAGAGGTCTACTGTGGAAGACCCAAGAGGTACTACTGTCAGTATAAAAAAACACAACCCTATTTTTTTTAATTTGTTGTTGCAATGCTTTGTTTACAGACTCCGTGGTAGGATGAATAGCTGTGGGAAATATATGTTCAGACACTTGGTGGGTCTTTGTTAAGACTACTTAGCTCTTAAACTTTTTTCCTCTCCACTCCTTGTCTGTAAACATTAAAGTTAGACCTGTCCAGTAATGGGGGTGGGGGGGGGTTGTTATGCTATGGTAGATGTGCTAACAGGGAATAGGGGGAGTGTTCTTATCACTATCTTTTGGATTTAATTCGATCATGCCCGCTTAACCCTAGCTATGGGCATGTTCCCCTATGGGCATGGGTTCTCTGCGCCCTATTTGTTTTTATGTTTGGTTGTCTTTTAAAGATGCTTAGTAAATAATAGAAAATTACATAATTAAGACCACTAAAATAATTAAAATATACAAGAAAACTAATAAAAAATATAGAAAAATATAAAAAATATATCCCAAAACACTTTGAGAACCATTCTTTTAGTAATAAGCCGGTCATGACAACTAACCCTAGACATGGACTTGTGTCCCTATGGGCATGGGTTCTCTGCACCTTATTTGTACTTAGGTTGGGTTGACTTTTAACGTTGAGTAGTAAAAAAAATGAAAATTGCATAATTAAAACCACTAAAAATATAAAAAAAAACTAATTTAAAAAATGAGAAAAATAAAATCAAAACACTTTGAGAACCTCCTGGTCGAAAAACAACCAACACATACTATGAGGACCACTTAAAAGATAAAAGAAAACTAATTAGAAGAATAAGAAAAAATATACCCGAAAAACTTTGAGAACCTCTCAATAGAAAATTGAGAACCACTCAAAAGAAAATTGAGAATCACCGATAAGATCCTCTTTATGACTAATAATAGTGACTTTGAAAATCCGTAAATAAAAAATACAATCAAAACACTTTGAGAACCACTCGATAGAAATCTGAGAACCACTCAATAGAAAATTGAGAATCACTCGATAAGATCCTCCTTATGACTAATAATAGCGATTTTGAAAATCTGTTCAAATTATTTCCTAAGCAAGGGAAAATCCGTTCAAAATAAACTCTTCGTACCACTCCCATTCGTGCTCACATTCCAACCCCACCCATACCGTCGGAGTGTTTTTTCCCACGCCATATTCACCCCGTTTACTCAATGACCAGACCAGGTAATGCGTTTTAATGCGTACATTCCATTGTACGTTTCGCGCATCCCGCCCGAGGCCTTGTTTAATAGATAATATTACTCACACAACCGCGGTCAGATATTATGGTATGTTAGTCAATGTCCGCACTTAAGGTACGGGAAAATCGTAGGCAATGGTTCTCGTATTATTAAGAAAACTAATTTAAAGTACAACCCAACCAGCCTAAAAATTTAAAAAACACACTACAATAACTTTAATTAGGACCCTACTCGATCCTTAAAATTGACAAGAAGAAGCTTAAAACATCTGTTATGACTACCGACCCATATACAAGGGAAATGTTTTTTTTTTTAGAGAATCGACCCTGACATAGTGATAACCACTTAAAATAAATAAGAAAACTAATTAAAATACAAGAAAAAAATAAAAATACACTCAAAAAAATACCCGCCATACTTTGAGAACGCCTTAAAATCAGAAATATTTTATTACTCAACAATAAAATTCAATAATCTTATTTGTTAAAAAAAAGATTCCATAACAAGAAGAAAACTCGTTATGATTCAAACATAATGAGAACCACTTCTTAGAAAATCGATCCACCAACCCTTTGAAAATCACGTTAAATAAATAAAAAAACTAATTAGTATACAAGAAAAAATAAAAATTGCAACCAAATGGACCATGTGACGAACTTAGGCTGTACTTTGTAAAATTTCTTCCCCCTCAACAACGCCCTTGAAAACCCATCTAATATAATACCATTCCCTCCCCACGTTTTGCCCCGCAGTATCAAGCCCGATTTACTCCCCTTAGTGTTCTCGCATTTCTACAAAAAGTCTCTCACCCCCAATGCGTGCAATTAGTGTTCAACCACTCTCACCGATGAACCTTGAGAAAATAATACCATTTCCCCCCCCCTCTCCCTAAGTTTTGCCCTGGAGACAGCAAATTGCAGTATCGTCCCTTGTTGTTATTGCACTAATGCATCAGAAAACCCAGGCTGAAGCGTGAATCTGGATTTTCACCCAACCCCGATAAACTTTGAGGGTAGAAGGTGAAACCCGAAACATCAAAATTTATTGTCATTGGATGGGAAAGCATACAACATTTAAACCACCCATTTGAATCATCACCGAATCATCACCCAATTCGAATAAATAGCCTGAACAAGAAACAAAATGTCTTTTATGATCTGATAACTTGATTGTGGACGCTGGAAGTCACTAGACTAAGTACTTCACTAGCGTGATACTTAACTGCGACTGCTGCCTAGAGTACTATTAAGTACTCAACCATGATTTTGATAGTATGTTCTTGCACATATATTGTTCATATGTCTATGTCGTAATTATTCGTTCGTGTTTGATCTTATTCTACTATTGTCTATATTCATTTATATTGATGTTATGAATTATATTATTGCTTTTGCCGCGTACTACAACACGCCGCCATCTCATCATGGGGATGGTAGGATGTTGTTCTAAAAGCGCCCATGTCTTTTTTTTTTTTACAAGAAGACAATTTAAATATTATATACCTTTAATTTTGTTGATTGTTAATGCTACCATGTCCCATACTTTATTAATTAAAATATTTATTTGGTCCAACTTTGTCGCGAAGCAAAATCTGCTTACGCCGACAATGATCAGACTTATAAATTCATCCACAAATTGGATGTATATGCACGAGCTATGTCACATTCCATACATCGATTTGCATTGGTTGCCAGTGGAACGGGATTTATAAGCTTATGGCAATTCGCTTGGATACTTATCCATTTTTGTATCATTTGCCTTTAGCCTGGTTTCTATTACTGAACCTACTTACTTTGAAGCTAGATCTTGGGGATTGATCTACACCCTACTACCTGACAACTACTAGATGGACTTCAAGATCCAGGGACTCTCACTTCCACAATTTATTGCTGGAAAGCATCTTCCCCATCGCAGATATCCCACGGAATCTACGAAAGGGATATCCGACTTCGCTACGCTAGAACAGCTCCAAAGGCCGGAGAGAAAGCCACTTCTGGAACAAAAGGACTCCCAAAATGTGTGATCCACCGAGATCATCACTAATACTATAAAGGCCAAGTCCAACATGATAAAGCACAAAACTTGAACACGTTTAGAAAATATAATGATGAATCCGCTTGTAGGTTAGGGACACTAGCTTTGCCTGGCAATACATTTCTAATTGGATGAAATGCATTTGATGTATATATGTTAAGCGACAAGATTGTATAAAGGATGACTTTTGTAAATATTATAATTCAATTAATACTCATAGTTATTTCTCCTTTACCAAAGACTTCGTTTCAGTCTATACTATATGTATATAGATAGGTTATTAAGTCTGTGTGGTAATTTGGCTTAAGTAACGAATCCATAGAGAGATTGCCAAGAGGAGATCTCATCTCCACACTAATATATTATATGTCAGATCACCACAGGCCCACATACTTTGAGAATCACTTAAAAGATACAAGAAATCTTATTAAAATATATATATAAATATTATATATAATATACCCAAAACACTTTGAGAACAACTCATTAGAAAATTGAGAACAACTCAATAGAAAATTGAGAACCACTCATACAAAATTATTTAATAATTACAATCAAAACACTTTTAGAACCACTCATTTGAAAAATTACGTAATTTAAACCCCTCATTAGAAAATACACAAAATTTACCATCATACTTTGAGAACTACTCACAATAAATGATATAATGTAAATCATTGTCCAATAACACCAAAATAATCAAATTACACAATGAAAATACTAATTATAAAAAATATATATTTTTTTTTTAAAATGACAACCAGTCAATAGAAAATTGAGAACCAACTAAAAATAAAGTTATACGATAAAAAACCGTCTTAAAACAACACATGAAAAATCTGTACAATGTTGTCTTTGAGGTTGTATTTAACTAAAATATGCATGCACAACAATTTATATTAATCAAATTAATCAAAATAATTACTAGTAATATCCTTGTACAACAACGGAAATCAAAGGGTGCTAAATTGTATAACAAAAAATTAATAATTAATTATCGAAATGTTGCCCTTTGGCGAAGGACCTCCTCCAACATCCTCCAATTTGCGCCCTGATTTGAACCTTATCTACTACTTATATGGCATCATTTCGTCTTCTGTTTAACTGTCAGCTTACTCACACTACCAAACAAGTCCCTATGTGTGCTACAATATACAATATGGTGACTGACATATTGCGTCCTAGCTGCAAGGACCTTTCATTTCGTTCCTTGTAATAAACGAAGATATTTTAGTGCACGGTCAAGCCCGACTTCCGCCATTGGCATTTTGCCCGTCGCTGCTTCTGCTTCGCATCCATTATTTAGGGGGTGAGCTATGGGTCGGAAGGGATGTCTGTGACAAACTGTGTGGACAGTGGTGCATGTTTGTCTAAAATGACTCTGAGGCCACTGTTGTAATCTGTCACAGGGTGTTCTTCACTGCACGTGAGGGCAGCAACGTGCAAAGAAGGCACAATGGCTTCTTAAATTCAAAGTCAAAGGTAATTCGGAAATTATAAGAGATCTGTTTGTCCTCAATAATGAATTTGCGGATCATAGCTAAACAGTCCTCTCTGACAACTAGCCAATCTAGGATATGACTCCGCTTATGCGTTAGGACACTGATAATTTAAGTCATTCCGTATGTGTCAAGAACTGATTTTAGTGTCTTCACATAGCTTTAGATGGTTGAATCTTAATGCCAGTTTGTGTCGCCGATTATGATAAAGTTGTTGTTGGTGGAAGCGTAAATGTCCATGATATGTAGAAAGTATGCAGTAAAATGATAGACCTTCAACCTAATTTGCGTATTAGGTGGTTTCCTGTATATGAACAGAAACGTCATTTCTTGGTTACCTTAATTAAGTTGCATCTTTTACATCTCAAATTAAACAAACTCGTCTGATTTTGAGAACGCCACAATATTCTTGAAATATCTCGTTTAAATGACTGCAATACCTTCGCGACTTCATTAGGCAAGTGTGAAGGACGTCATCTGGCGGTATACTTTTTAGTAGCTTAATCTCGTCATCGACATTTTAAACCACATCTCTGTAATGAATAAACACTTGGCCCTGCTCTCCAAAAATTGATCACACACTTCAATTGTCTTGTTCTGCATTAATTGGAGTTGAAAAACAGCACTCCGAAATAATGTGATTACAGCGTCACAACAGGATAGCAGTAAACAACAACTAGATTTGATCTTGTTAAGCCCCGTCGAGGTTGTGTGAAATCATGAGCCGCCGGTCGTTATTTCAGTGTTCACACGTAGGGAATGGTCGATACGTATGACACGTTAGGTGGCTGATTTCCGTCGTCCACCTCGTTACCGAAAGCTTCGTTAAATGGCTTTAAGTGACGATCTCCTCAAGCAATAATATTGACGTGGCTGTTGCAATGGTGCTATTTCAAAGGACTCTGTTTACAACATCCAGCGCGATAAAGGCGCTTCGTCTTGCATTGTGCTTAAATTTTCAGTTAACCACCACGATGGGTACGCTTCCGAGGCAGGCCTCGACCAATGAAAAGTTCTTTCAGTTGATACACAAGGTCAACCGTCATGTGTATACTCTGGGCATTCATTGACAATAGTTGTTTGCTGGAGTATATCAGCACAGGTCGATTTCCTCCCTGATGCCGGATTGTGTCACCAATAGTACCATTAGCTTAAATGAGCGATGATTATGATTACAACAAAGATGGCCAACCTCGTAAGAACAGGCAAACACCCATAAAATTACAATTTAATTAGGATCACGATACTATACATGCCTGCAAGGAGTGTACCCATCTTTATCTCAAGACAAATATTAAATCCCCGAAATATAATTTATGTAATTATCATATACATTTGTAACTTTGTAAGGCAGCCATCTTGTTGCTAGCCAAGATTATTAATATATATATATAATTATTAGGACATTTTAAAATTAAATTTGTTTACTTACATTTAAGATTTTCGTAATAAAATCCATTTTCTCCCTGTAAATATTAAAAGTAAGTTAAATATAATGTTTGTATACAGATAGTTACATTGGTCTATTTAAAAACATATACTTATATGTTGTTTTTGTATTAAAAAAGAAAATTAACGTTTAAAAAGATCAGAAATTATTTTTTTAAATTTAATCATATTGAACTAATTTAAAATGATGATCATTTAAAAAAGAAACGAAAATTTTAACTATAACTATTTTTTGTGTAAAAGATTTTTAATAAATAATAATTTCTCCATTAACATTCCTTAAAGTTTTTATAAATTATCTTAACTATATTTGTTATCATGTTAACATTTTAAGGTGATTTTTTCAGGTCGGAAAGACTGGGATAACATTAATATATACTATTATTAAGTAAAGTTTAATTTTTGTTGCAATAAAATGAAAAAAAAAAAGAAAAGTTCTAAATATGTGTAAGAAAAATAAAAAAAAAATAAAAAAATTGATATTTAAATAGTTTGGATTTATTATACGTACAATTTCCTCGATTACTTTGACGATCTTGTCCAATTTGACTCCTTGTTTTATGATCTTGTATAAATAATATTTTTCTTCTATTTTCAATAGTTGCTCTAATATTATGGAAATCCCTCTATCACTGAACGTTTGCAACTAGGAAAAAAAATACTTGAATACAATTTCCTCATAGCAATTTAAGCTTAGAATACGTTATGTTTTAATACATGTGTTTACATTTTTTAGCGTTGGGGACACATTAATGATTTTGCGCCCCGGATGTTGTTATTTAATGTGCATGTCTTATGTTAAGAGACATAGTATTTGTTATGGTGGACTAGCGGACTGGACCGTACCGATAGCCAGCCAAGGAAACAGCGAGCATGCGCAGAGAGCCTAGATAAAGTGTGTGTGTTTATGAACCGTGTTCCGAACGCAAGCAGAAAGTCAACACCCGATTGAGAACTTGTATTTATGTATATATGCTTATGTTACTTGTTTGAAATAAAAACATTGAAAACATACCAAAATGATAGCCAGTATAAACATAACAGTGTGGTATCGACCAGCATCAACAACACAGTATGATGGGAAGTATTAACTAAATACAAAACTCAGGACAACTCAGTACAACCCAGTGATAGTTGGATACTCACGAGTGAGTTCACAGGACGGAGGAGGAAATACACAATGTATTTGTAATTAGTTTCTGCAGTGTTGCGTTTGTTTTAAATGTGGTAAAGTATAGATTTGTTTTTTGTTGACTTTGTACCGTGCTTCGAGCCTTTGGGGAAGAAGAGTGTTTTTGAAATGAACTTTATTATTATTATTATTATTAATGGAGTCAAATCTGACCCAAGCTGACATTATCCAGAAGCTCATACAGCAGAACGAGCTACTTTTGAAACTAGCAAAAGGTAATACGGCTACTAATATGAAGTTTACACATTTAAATAAATAACGAGGCAACGTTCACAGACTACTATGCTAGATACGTGACCTTCGTGTTGGCAAATGATGTGCCAAAGGAAAGGCAGGCACAATTTTTTTAACAAGCCAGACGCCAGAGCTGCATCAAATGTTGGCAAATAATGGGCCAAAGGAAAGGCAGGCACACATTTTTTAACAAGCCAGATGCCAGAGCTGCATCAAATGTTGGCAAATAATGGGCCAAAGGAAAGGCAGGCACACATTTGTTTAACAAGCCAGACGCCAGGGCTGCAACAAATGTTGGCAAATAATGGGCAAAAGGAAAGGCAGGCACACATTTTTTAACAAGCCAGATGCCAGAGCTGCATCAAATGTTGGCAAATAATGGGCCAAAGGAAAGGCAGGCACACATTTGTTTAACAAGCCAGATGCCAGAGCTGCATCAAATGTTGGCAAATATGTGCCAAAGAAAAGGCAGGCACACATTTTTTAACAAGCCAGACGCCAGAGCTGCATCAAATTTTGGCAAATAATGGGCCAAAGGAAAGGCAGGCACACATTTGTTTAACAAGCCAGACGCCAGAGCTGCATCAAATGTTGGCAAATAATGGGCCAAAGGAAAGGCAGGCACACATTTGTTTGACAAGCCAGATGCCAGAGCTGCATCAAATGTTGGCAAATATGTCCCAAAGGAAAGGCAGGCACACATTTTTAACAAGCCAGATGCCAGAGCTGCATCAAATGTTGGCAAATAATGGGCCAAACGAAAGGCAGGCACACATTTTTTAACAAGCCAGATGCCAGAGCTGCATCAAATTTTGGCAAATAATGGGCCAAAGGAAAGGCAGGCACACATTTTTTTTAACAAGCCAGACGCCAGAGCTGCATCAAATGTTGGCAAATAATGGGCCAAAGGAAAGGCAGGCACACATTTTTTAACAAGCCAGATGCCAGAGCTGCATCAAATGTTGGCAAATATGTGCCAAAGGAAAGGCAGGCACACATTTTTTAACAAGCCAGACGCCAGAGCTGCATCAAATGTTGGCATATAATGGTCCAAAGGAAAGGCAGGCACACAGTTTTTAACAAGCCAGATGCCAGAGCTGCATCAAATGTTGGCAAATAATGGGCCAAAGGAAAGGCAGGCACACATTTTTTAAGAAGCCAGATGCCAGAGCTGCATGAAATGTTGGCAAATAATGGCCAAAAGGAAAGGCAGGCACACATTTTTTTAACAACCCAGATGCCAGAGCTGCATCAAAGGTTGGCAAAAAATGGGCCAAAGGAAAGGCAGGCACACATTTTTTAACAAGCCAGATGCCAGAGCTGCATCAAATGTTGGCAAATAATGGGCCAAAGGAAAGGCAGGCACACATTTGTTTAACAAGCCAGATGCCAGAGCTGCATCAAATGTTGGCAAATATGTGCCAAAGAAAAGGCAGGCACAAATTTTTTAACAAGCCAGATGCCAGAGCTGCATCAAATGTTGGCATATAATGGTCCAAAGGAAAGGCAGGCACACATTTTTTAACAAGCCAGACGCCAGAGCTGCATCAAATGTTGGCAAATAATGGGCCAAAGGAAAGGCAGGCACACATTTGTTTAACAAGCCAGACGCCAGAGCTGCATCAAATGTTCGCAAATAATGGGCCAAAGGAAAGGCAGGTACACATTTGTTTAACAAGCCAGATGCCAGAGCTGCATCAAATGTTGGCAAATAATGGGCCAAAGGAAAGGCAGGCACACATTTGTTTAACAAGCCAGATGCCAGAGCTGCATCAAATGTTGGCAAATAATGGGCCAAAGGAAAGGCAGGCACACATTTGTTTAACAAGCCAGATGCCAGAGCTGCATCAAATGTTGGCAACCATCGTGACAACTAAAAAGAACCACCACAAAATTTAAATGACTTAAACATGGAAGAAATATATAGAATAATGATGGATCAATTTTACCCCACCAAATTTGTAATCAAAATTTTGGGATGATTCTAGTAGAAAATCGGAAGAAACAATCAAGAATTGGCAGCTAGGATCAGACAGGATTTCCCAAGTGGAACTTGTGTCAGGTGTGGAGTAAAAGGCCATAAAGGAAATGTCTGCAGGTGCAAAGACGTGTTCTGCCGCTTTTGCCACAAGAGAGGACATCTAGAAAGATTTTGTCTAAATAAGAAAGAGAATTCTCCAAAACAGAAACTGATTCATCTAAAAAGAATACGAAGGCAAAACCAAATAAAATGTATCCCGCCCATTATTCAAGAAATAATTTTAGAAGGAAAGAGGTTAGAATTTAAAATTGACACTGGAGCCGGAGAAAATTTTATGTCTGAATCTGTTTGGCGAAAGCTGGGACAACCCACATTGAGCCCAGTATCGGTCAAGTACGAGTCGGCGTCTGGTAACCTACTTAATGTTTTGGGAAGTGTGCAGATAAAGGCTGAAGCTGGGGAAATAACTACAAATTTGTCATTTGTAGTAATGAACAACCACAACTTAAATTTGTTGGGAAGAACGGCAATAAAGAACCTCAAGATTTCAATAGACGCACTGTTTCAAACAAGTACAAATCACATTGCTAATCAAAACTCATTGAGTCAAGCTTGTGAACAAATCTGTAAGGAATTCCTGAAGCTGTTTGAACCTGGTCTGGGGCTATTGAAGGATGTGGAGCTAGAAATTAAGTTCAAGCCAAATGCACAACCAATTTATGTGAAACCTAGAAATGTTCCATTTGCAGTAAAGGCAGAGCTAGCAGAGGCTTATGAAGCTGGAATATCTTCAGGAGCATGGCTCCCAGTACAATTCAATCAATGGGGCACTCCTGTAGTTCCAGTGAGAAAGAAGTCTATCTCAAGAAAAAAGTCACAAATTAGGGTCTGTGGGGACTATGGAAAAACTGTAAATCAACAGTTAGAAACACCAAGGTACCAAATGTCATTACTAGAAGACCTCATGAGGAAGTTAGCAGGGGGGACATTATTTCTCAAAAAAGATCTAGCTGATGCTTATAATCAGATCAAGCAGGCTAAAGAATCCGAAAGAGAAATTGGCAATAAGCACACATAGAGGTGTATTGCTGCAAACAAGGTTACCATTCGATATTACCTCAGCACCTGCGTATTTCCAAGAAATCATGGACAAACTTACACAAGATTTGCCTGGAGTAGCAGTGTACATGGACGACATTCTAGTGAGTGGAAAGGATGGGGAAGACCATGTAATGAACCTTCGCAGGTTTTACATAGACTGAATGAAAATGGATTAAAGTGCAGGAAGGAAAAATGCATTTTTGCTCAGCAATCAATTGAATATTTAGGGCATACATTATCAAGCAATGGCATATCAAAAGGAGCCAAAGTAGAGGCAGTTATATCCATGCCAGTACCCACAGATATTTCCAGTCTACGATCATTTCTTGGTCAAGTGCAGTTTTACAGCAAGTTCTTACCGGACCTATCAACTGTACTTGAACCATTGTATTATTTAACCAAAAAGAACGCATCATGAAAATGGAATACAGAACAAGAAGCTTTTAGGAAAGTCAAGCAATTGCTTTCTTCTGATAAAGTTCTAGCTCACTATGATCCAACTCTAGACATAGGCATATCCTGTGACGCCTCTAATGTTGACATAGGAAAAGATCTGTTCCACAGATATCCTGATGGTAGTGAACGCCCTATTGCTAACATTTCAAAAACTCTCACAGCAGCACAACGCAAGCATAGTCAGATTCAAAAGGAAGCACTCTCAATTATTTGTGCTCTATCAAAGTTCCATCAATATCTGTATGGAAGAAATTTTGTGTTGGTGACAGACCATAAACCACTGATAAATATATTTGGTTCAGGAAAAGGAACACAAGAGCTGGCAGCAAATCGTTGAGCCAGATGGGCTCTTACCCTGAGTCAGTATGACTACATCATTGAATTTTGTAAGTCAACTGAACATGGCAATTCGGATGCTCTTAGTCGTCTCCCCTCAGGACCTGATGACATTTTTGATGGTGAAGAAATTGAAGCAGACATGGATTCTGTAAGTATGATCAAACAAATCAGTTTACAGATCAGACCAACAGACCCAGGAGTCCTTGCTAAAGAGTCACTTAAAGAATCTACTGTGTCTACAGTAATGAGATATTGTCAAGAGGGCTGGCCGTCCTCTACAAACAAAGAAAACAAGGATACAGCTAATATAGCAGCTTTTAAAAATATTCAAGACTCACTCTCAGTGGAGTCGAATTGTCTATTTTATGTTTCAGGAATTGTTGTACCAAAAATACTAAAAGCTCAAGTTCTTCAAATCCTGCATACAGGACATTTTGGAATCGAGCGGATGAAACAGTTAGCAAGATCATCTGTATATTGGCCCGGACTTGATACTCAAATCATGGAGATAGGTCAAACATGCCAGGCATGTGCAGAACACGCCAGAGACCCAAACAATGCAAGTATCAACCCATGGATGCTGCCAGAAAAACCATGGAGTCGAGTGCATATCGATCATGCCATTAACTTTAAGGGATCACATTGGCCGGTGGTGATAGATGCTTATTTAAAGTACCCCTGTATCCACAGGACAACATCTATATCGACCAAAGCTACCATTGATCTTCTGGAGGAAGATTTTTCTCATTTCGGCTATCCACACATCATAGTCAGTGACAATGCTACTAGCTTCATCTCAGAAGAATTTCAGCATTGGTGTAAGGAGAGGGGTATTGTACATCTCGCAGGCGCTCCCTATCATCCTGCTACAAATGGAGCTGCCGAACGACTGATTCAAAGTTTCAAGAGTTCACTGAAGAAATCCACATTACCTTTAAAGGAATCTCTACAAGACTTTCTTCATCAGTATCGTAGGACACCATTGGCCAGTGGATTATCATATAGCCAACTGCTGAACAATCTGCAAATACGCACACTTATTGATACTCTAGTTCCCTCACCTGCTCATCAAGCACAGGGACAACATCTTAAAGAAAAATCCGTTCGCAATGGGACAAACAGAAGTCCATATTCGATTATTTAACGGGGTACATCAATGTTACGTCAGAGTATATGGAACAGCAACAGGTAATACGGCTACTTATACGGCTACCCCATAGCGGCCACCATTTTGTTAAGTTTTCAATGATTTTATTTCAAACAAGTAACATAAACATATATATATACATAAATACAAGTTCTCAATCTGGTGTTGACTTTCTGCTTGCGTCCGGAACACTTTTATGTTACTTGTTTGAAATAAAAACATTGAAAACATAACATTATTTATTGAGCGCTCTTTTTCTAGCTTGTCAATGTATATTTTTTTTATGGCTTAAGATCTAGACTGTCTTTGGAGTAGATCACTTTCTTTAGCATTAGTGGAAAAAAGCTTGCGAAGGATGGTAGTGTATTGTTTCTACTTGATGTAGCGAGTTGAGCTATTGATGGCTTTGTTTAAAAATACAGTGTTTTAAATATTTTGATAGAGTTTCATCACTAATTTAATTTTTTTGCTGATTACGCACTTAATACGACAATGAAAGTATACATATTTTTTAGGAAAGAAACAAAATAAATATATTATAGTGTTACATAAATGTTTCATTCATAAGTATAAATATATGTATATAAATTTTTATTTTTATTTTTTTTAAAGGAATTCAATGTCGGTACAATTTTAGATTTGAACATTATTTTAAATATTATTATATAAATACTTACATGCGGAATTAGTTCAATAGGGTCTTCTTCGTCCAAAATGTTTTTTAAAAGTTTTTTTTTTTCATTAACATCAGTAACAGTCATGCATCGTTTAAGAACTGAAAAGGAGTAAAACACACAATACACAAATTTAAAAAAAAATAATTTAAAAGAACATCTACAAATTATACAATCCTTAAACATATTAATATTTAAAAACTTATTGAAATGATCGTTACAACTTTAAAAAAAAAAAATGATATTGAGGGTTTTCTTGCACCAAATAATTCATTTTTTAGTAAGGAGTAATAACAAAACTCTATAATTCGAATTTCTAAATAAAATATTTAGCGTGGAAAATTGGTTAAGGAACCTAATGTTGCAAAAGAGAATTTTGAATACATAATAATTAATCGATCAGATATGTTTTTAAAAGTTAAAAATGGTTATTTTTAATATAATCATAAATCTTATGCAAGTTTAGTAATTAATTAACATGTTATTGAAGTGTAAAACGTAAACATTGCCCTCTAGGTCTTTACTAACTGATATGAACTGAACCGTATGTTTTAAGCTGAGAGTGGCAAAATAATAAACTCTATCCTTTAAAATTTACAAGATCCCAATTTGGATTTATTTATGAGTGATAGGGCCAGAAATAGTCGCCCTTTTGTGCGAATCAGTGTAGAAAAGTAGGATCTCCAAACCTAAACAGTACCCGATAATATGAGTGCCTCCTCTTGAGTGGATATTCGCTAGTTGATGGCTTAATCAGTGAAAATATTTACATAAACACATGGGCACACTCAGCGTTTGGCGTTTTATGCATGTTCTTATTTATGTTACAGGAATAGAAATTCGGGGTATTACGTGGATATATCTATAGAGCAATAAAAAAAATACTTTTGGCATTAGCGTCTGTCATAGGGTGACTGTTACGCCAAGGTCAAAGTACTCTTTACTCTGTGAATGATTATAGACGTGACACAGGTCGACATGATCCAATTGAAGAAACCCATCAAACCTAAAGAGGATTCAATCCCCATCATGGTTTCACCATCAAACACGTCCAGTACAACGACTAAAGGGTACCTGAACAATATTAGTTTATCGTCACAGACAGAGACATTCAATTCAGATACAAATTCAAGCATGTCCAGTTTAGATGCTATCGGTTCAAGATTGTTTTTTCCAAAGCGGCGTGCCCCATGTGTATCTGTCATTACTGCTCCCCAACATTCCTCACACTCACGAGGTAAAAACGTGACCTAAACGCAAGTAGCACCTCCATCTGTTATACCACGCAGATCACTTCGCATTGCAAATCGAGAGAAACAGATATGAGTCAATAGTATTTTTAAAAAAACTAGTTGTTGTTTTGCTAAATTTTTCTTTTGTAAATAAATTCTAATTTTTTGTTGTTGTATTTTTGTATTGAAAAGCTTGCGACAGTTGTAGTGGAGCCAACGAGGCGGCTGTGTTTCAAGTTTTAGGGTGGACACCTATGTTGTAAAATATAACAGTGATGAAAATATATTATCATTGACAATGATATTTATTGTCGTATGTCATAACTCTATTAGAAAATTTACTCGAACAATTTAAAGCGGATGACAATGTTATTATATCAGCAAGACAGTGATGATGCTTTTTTGTTATTTAATTGTCATATAATGAAATGCTTCTTGTAGAAAAGTTACTAGAAAACTAAAACAGTTTTCGGGATATGACTTCAAGTACTACTTGTCATTCCATTAACTAATTTTTCCAACGTCCATAACTTGTATTTAAGATATCTGTACTTGTTTTGGTTATAGCATTGGGGAACATTTATAAGTCAGACAAATGCTGTGAAATGTAAGATACAAATATAGAATTGATTGCATTTTAAATTTTATAAGACCATTTTGGTCCGAAAATTTGGGGACATTGTGTATACCAAGTTTCCTTTTCTTAAATAACATATACCCTATGTTGTTTCTGATGTATGTTTTTCCAGGCAAAACTGGTATTTATATTCACTTATTTTGGGGGCGGAGAATGCATGTGCTATTGTTTTTTATTAGACTCAGTGAGGACGCTTGAATGAAAAAAGTTGGCGTGGATGCTGCAAGGTGCCACTTTATGTGTAAGAACATTAATGAATCATATTTTTATATTTGTAGCTGGGTGCCACCTATGTTTGCCGCGTGCCACCTATGCCCACGATCCTGTGGTACGATGTTACCGTGTTCATAGCCACTGAGCTGGGCATACTGTTAAACAGCTCATGACGTCGATGGCACAGAAGATATATAAGAGAGTGGGGGTTAAACCCGGGCCCTGGTAAGTGTGTACATGTTAATTTTGTGTGTGGATACGGCTATGCGAGTCGGCTGACGGGTGAGATATTTTGTTGTCGGTCTATCTATCTATTAATCTATCAATCTATCCATCTATCCATCTATCCATCTATCCATCTATCCATCTACCCATCTACCCATCTACCTTTCTATCTATCTATCCATCCTTCCATCCATCCATCCATCCATCCATCCATCCGTCCGTCCATCCGTCCGTCCATCCATCCGTCCGTCCATCCGTCCATCCGTCCATCCGTCCAACCATCCATCCATCCATCCATCCATCCATCCATTCATCCATCCATCTATCTATCTATCTATCTATCTATCTATCTATCTATCTATCTATCTATCTATCTATCTATCTATCTATCTATCTATCTATCTATCTATCTATCTATCTATCTATCTATCTATCTATCTATCTATC